GCACAAGCAAAATGAATTCCTGCACCAGATAGATAAGGAAAATTTTATGGCGTCTACTAGGATCAGCACTACTTTGAAAAGAGGCAACACGAAGGAAAATTGCCGGCACTTAGTGCTGTCAACAACCCCAAGTATCCGCAGCCTACTCATAAAGGAGAAGTATGTCTCACTCTCTTGGGCGAACGTGTTGGTGGATGATTATGTCTACATTACCAGATGTTTCCAGTGTTGTGGCTTCAACCATTTAGCCAAAGACTGCACTGAGAAACAAACTTGTAGCCACTGCGCCAAGGCCCACCGTTACAATGAGTGCACCAAGAGAGAGCAGCCGGCCTGTTGTATAGTCTGTAAAACTGCTAACAAAAATCTAGCCCCAGATAGACGCCAACCCACCAACCATAATGCTTTCGATTTCAAATGTCCGCAAAGCATCAAATTAAGGGAGCAAGTTATAAAGCAGACTAACTATGGGGACTAACGCCCAACAAGAAAAACTCAAGCTGCTGCAAATCAATTTGCAACGCTCAAAAGCAGCCACCACCGAGACCATGCACATGGTCAACACCCTGCAGGCCGACATCTTACTAGTCCAGGAGCCATACTGTATGAATAGGAAGATTGCACTATTTGGAAACCTCAACACCTTTAACCATCATGACACCACGGAAAACCCACAGACTGGGATTATTATGACTAATAGGAATATTAATGCCCATCAACTTCACGAACACACAAACAGGAATTACACCACAATCATCGCCAAGATCCAATCCACTCCACTGGCCATAATATCATTTTACTGCTCGCCATCTGAAGATATTACCCAACCGCTCGAGGACCTACAGAACACCATACAGCAACTCAATGGGATCCCCATCCTTGTGGCTGGAGACTTCAACGCGAAGTCCCAGCTATGGCACAGCCCGATAGAAGATCCAAGAGGGTATAAGGTGGCGGAACTCATAAACAGCCTGGATTTACACTCTATGAATACAAGCACGCTAGCTACCTACTCCTCGTCCACCGGGGAAAGCTGGGTGGACATCTGCTTAGCAAACCGCCTCCTCACCTCCAGAGGGATGAACTGCAGCACGCTAAGTGTCCACTCAGTAAGCGACCACCGGTACATAGAAACGACCATCAGTAACATCGGTGTAGAAAAGCAGTTCCGTATTAAGCATACGACAAAGTGGGAGGTTTTCCAAGAGTTCATTAAACTTAACTGGAACACGGAACCTATAGAAAACATGGAAACAACAAATCTTGAGGAGACCATAGAAAAACTACAAAACCTTATTCACCAGGCTTACCATAATGCAACAGATATAAAAACAACCAGGCAATCAGCTCCTTGGTGGAACGGAGAGCTGACGAACAAAAGGAAAAATCTAAGGAGATCCAGGAATCGTTTTAGGAGAGAACAAGACCGAGATAGGAAAGAGGCACTTAGACAAGAGTACCTCACTTTATTCCGAGAATACAAAACATCCATCTGTAAGGCTCGGACAAACTCCTGGAGAGAGTTCTGCTCCAATCTGGGGAGACGGAAGCCCTGGTCTACTCCTTATTATGTTGCAAGGGGGAAAGTAAAAAGCACCAAAATACCAAATAACTTTAACACCAACATCTCAAACCCCGCCACCTCCATCGAAGATACTTATGACCAAATCATCAACGACCTTTTCCCGTGGGACGACCCAAGCACAGATAATAACAACCACAAGAACATCAGGAAGAACAGTCACATACCCCCTGATACGGAGGACGACTGTTTATTCACATACCAGGAAATCGCCAAGGAATTTCAGAAGCTTAATCTTCGCAAGGCGCCAGGGAACGACTACATCACCCCAAAAATGGCCAAGATGGCTTTCGAAGCTATTCCGACCACATTTTGTGTGATCTATAACAAGTGTTTACAAAGGGCCTACTTTCCAAAAGTCTGGAAAATCGCCTCCGTGAAACTCATCGCTAAGCAAAGGAACCCCACAAATTCCTCGGATTACAGGCCAATCTCCCTCCTCCCAATACTGGGAAAAATCCTCGACGGACTGATGACAAACAGGTTAACCTACCACTGCGAAAGAAACAGCTACCTGAGTGATCAACAGTACGGCTTTAGGAGAGGTAGGAGCACTGTCACAGCCATTGACGCAGTCGTAAACTTCATCACTGACGCTAAGAGCAGGGGGGAGCACACCATGGTGGTATCAATTGACTACAAAGGCGCTTTTGACCATGCATGGTGGCCTGCTATCCTTACTAACATCAAGGAATTTGAGTGTCCGAAGAACATCTTCAATCTTACAAAGAACTATTTAAATGACAGAACAATCACCGTAATTAACAACAAGCAAACACATCTGATCAGAAATATCAACAGGGGTTGCCTGCAAGGCTCCAGGTCTGGGCTGTTCCTGTGGAACGTAATGTACGACAGCCTCCTGAAGCTAAAGTCCAAATTCCCGGGGAACAGCAACTGCAACATATATGGCTACGCCGACGACACGGTCCTGGCCATTTCACACAACAACCAAGAGGTTCTGCAGGCCAGGACCAACGATATCCTCCGTGTGATCTCGGATTGGAGCCAAAAGTCTAAACTAAGGATAAACTATGATAAGTGTTGCTGTGTTGTGTTTCCGAAAACTACCCCATTACATAAAGGACCGACAGTTAAAATGGACGGGATTCGCATCCGGAACAGTGATAGGCTTAAATACTTGGGAGTAGTCATGGATAACAGGCTCACGTGGAAACATCACGTGCATTACACCTATGAAAAGGCTGTCACCACCATGCACGCTCTGGCCTCTATTGCCCGGAACCGCTGGGGCTACGGGAGCGAGGCCTGCCGCCTTATGTACATCACAATTATCGAACCCATCCTGACCTATGGGTCAGAGGTGTGGGGTACTTCCATCAACAGAGTCCACATCAAGCGAAAGCTGAGCTCGGCGCAGAGGCTTGCTCTTATTTCGATAACAAAAGCCTACAAGACGGCTCCCACGGATGCACTCCTCGCTATAGCCAACCTTCTTCCGATTGACCTACTAATCACAGAAAGGGTCTGGTCTTATCAGCAGCTCAAACTAGCAAGAGGTTTGACTACCACAGATAAATTCAACACAACCATGGACAGCCTAGTGGACAGTCACACCAAGGATAAAATTACCAGCCACATTAACTCCTACCACCTTGATTTTGTCTGTCGGCCAGATCAGCATCACCCTTCAACCTCTATAGATAATCACTTTGTGCAGGATGACATTCCAACCCACACGGGCTGCTGTATTTACACAGATGGCTCAAAGTCGGAGGCGGGAGTAGGCAGTGCCTTCGTCGTTATAAACAACTCCATCAGTGTGCATCAAGCGCGCTTTAGGCTGGCGGACCATTGCACGGCTAATCAGGCCGAGTCGTTCGCCATGTATAAAGCTCTTGACTGGATTTACTGTAATAAAGACAAGAATAACCTCAACAATGTCAAGGTATACAGTGACAGCAGAGTGGCCCTCCTCCAACTCAAAAATCTAAACATCAAGCACAACATCATACAGAAAAGTGCCAACATCATTCTCAAGTTGAAGAACAACATCAACATAAGGTTTTCCTGGGTCCGGGGCCACACTGGCGTTGTAGGGAACGAGAGGGCCGACCTCTTGGCCCGCTCTGCCCCTATCCGGATCAGCAACATCTCCTACGACAACACGCCGCCCACCTGGTTGAAGAAGGCAATCAGAAATTACACCTGGGACAGCTGGCAAAAAAGGTGGGCCACCAGCACCACAGGGCGGCTAACGTATAGCTTCATCCCTCAAGTTAAAGACAGAAACCTCCATAAACATTTTACCACCAACTTTCACATCACGCAGCTATTAACCAACCATGGGAACTTCCGGAGCTATCTCAGGAGGTTCCTTAACAAAACCGACGGAATCTGCAATTGTGACGACATGGAAGAAGAAGACTCAACACATATATTATGGAACTGTCCAATATATAGTGCTCAAAGGACTTATCTCATCAATACAGTGCACAATAACAACGACCACTGGCCATGCCATGCCCATGATCTTATCAAGAACAAAAAGTATTACAAAGCCCTAAAAACTTTTGTTGCGAACATTAAAGTGCTCAGTTAGGGCGATGGTAGTGCATCATCCAATCTCCCTGTGGTTTGTGCTTCGTTTCCAGTGTGCCAGTTCTATCTCCAGCAGTGTCGCGGTAAGTTTTCCCGTCCGCCCAACAATAAGGGCACCACGTATGTAACCCAACAGGTTATTGTCGCGTCTTGATCACTGTACCTCTCCTGTCTGTTATTGTCGCGCAACACTTATCCCACCCGTGCCTAGCTTGCAAGCTAGCTGGTGGTTGCTGTATATAGTAGCATGTAAGAAACACTACTCAATTGTATCGCGTGTTCTTTATCCATATGTATCACTAGTAGTATTCTGTAACTCATAACCGCGCCATCCTATGGTAACTTTAACTAATTGTCTGTATTGTATTTAATCATTGTAACTGTACTTAGTTTCTAAATAAATGCCGATGCAAGGCGCTCATGGTCCTACCCCACTTTTATCTATCCTATCACACTTACCTTCACCTTCTCTATAAATTCTTCGACGAAACTTTCTTCTTATTTCACTTTCCAGTTACGGGGCTATATCTCCGAGTGCGGCCCGTCTCACACCCCCCCACGTGTCTATAGAAACAACTGCGACGTCCTGCAAAGAAGAGGGAACGAACTATTGGACCTAGTCTACAGATGGAGCGAGGTAAACTGCCTTCCGATCAATTACAAAAAATGTGAAGCCCTGGTCTGTACTAAGAAGTCAAACCGGAGACAACTACAGAGGCCCCTGTGCTTGTACATAAATAAAAACAAGATTAATATCACTTCACACCTTAAATATTTGGGTGTCCTGCTCGACCCCACTTTGAGTTTTAAAAATCACATAGAGGAGTTATGCAAAAAAGTTAGCCAGAAAGCCAACATGATTCATCATATTGCGAGGAACTCTTGGGGCATTAGCTCCAAACATTGCCGGCTAATCTATAAAGGGGCCATTGAGCCGGCACTGCTGTATGCAGCACAGATATGGGGCGACAGAGCGGACATAGTCCACAATAAGAGAAAGCTGCTCTCTGTACAGCGCTCTTTCGCTATCCGGGTATGCCGCGCGTACCGCACGGCACCCACGGACGGGCTACTGACCATTGCCAACTTGACCCCAATTCACCTAAGGATTAGGGAGGTGTTCCGACATTGGAAGCTAATAAACAAAGACTGGAAAAATAAGGAAGTGGAAAGTTATAGTAACAACATGGAAGGGGGTGATTTCTGCCCCGAGGACCCTGAACTGAATGATCAAATCGCTAAAAATGGCATTGACCTTTTTGCTAATGAAGGGGGAAACCCCTCTCACCCAGCAGAACACTGCAGCATCAACATCGAAAACGGGGACAACCCTAACGGCCCCACCTATAACTGGCACATCTTTACTGATGGAGCCAGCAACAGCCAGGGCACAGGGGCAGCATTTGTCGTCTACCGTGCCAACAATAATGAAGTTGTGCACGAGGAATATTTTAAGCTAGGGGCCTTCTGTACTAACAACCAGGCGGAGCTTTGGGCCATGAATCAAGCTCTCACCTATGTTATTAAACACATCAAGTATATGCCAGGGTCAATGAAATTCATCACGGACAGTAGATACACACTAAGGAACATCACGAACAATAGACGCCAAACCGCCATAGGAGTGAAAGTTTATCATATGGCACGGCACCTTCACAGGTCCAGGATGGTCAGCTTTGGCTGGGTCCCTGGCCATGCGGGGGTGCACGGCAACGAGAGAGCAGATGGCCTCGCCAAAAAAGCTGCAAATAATAACATCACTATCTCCTTCAGCAAGCTCCCCCTCAAATACATCCACAAACAACTGACCTCCAGAATTATGACTGAATGGCAGAATGAGTGGTCAAGCTCCTCTACGGGGAGAACAACCTATGACTTCCTGCCCTCCATCACTAGTCGCCAAAGTATGAATTACCTTACCCCTTCCTACCACCTTACTCAAGCGCTCACAGGCCATGGTAATATCCCAACTTACCTACACTGCATCAAAAAAAGGGACGACGACCATTGCGTCTGTGATGGTCTCACCACAGGCAACATATATCATATAATCACCGAATGCCGCAACCACGATGCACAAAGGAGAAGACTAATAGACTATTGTGTCTCTAACGGCTTGAACTGGCCCCCACCGTGGGAGCTTTTTTGTGCAACGAAGGACCTTTTCATCCACTTTGAAAACTTCATTAGAGATTGTGGCATCTTTGTCTACAAACCGCCGGACTAGCTTCATGACTGTGCCACCGTCAGAGGGGCATACTCTGCTTATTAACTGTATCATGTGCGAATGTATCGGTTTTTCTGTCTTTGCACCTCCATTACATGTATTAGCCTCAACCGAGGCAATCAAAGCAAACCCTGTTCTTTCGGCCTAATCTATGTATCTTATATGTAACGCTGTTAATTACGTATCTATCTGATTTTGGGGCTACTACGCCACTAACACCGATACTGGACACTCTACAATGTGGTTCCTCTGCAATGTATTTTTCTGTCTAATATGTAATTGTTGAAACTGTATGTAACTAGTCGGTTAATCAAAAACCGTTTTGTATTTGTATTCTGTGCCACCGGTATCTATATTGTAACCATAACCGGATTGGTCTCTGCTTTATGTATCTGTCTGTTTTCAATAAATGCCGATGCAAGACGCCTAATGAGATCCCATCCTTAACCCATCTTCTTCTTCCATATCATCTTCCCATCACTCCACCCCGCTTCCCCCGCAACTCCTACTACCCCCTCCCAACCCCTCTTCTCCCCACATTTCCTTCCCACCCCATCTCCCTCTTCACCCCATCCTTTCCTCGCCTAGGGCTAAGTCGCAAGACAGCCTCCTCCTTTATGACTCATGTCTATTAGAACAAGAGGGCGTCCGATCGCTAGTTGGAGTAGCAGTGGGTTACTTCAGCTCCTGTTCAACCTGAGTTTTTTGGATTATTTTTGGTGCGAGTGATCTGTTTTTGGTATCATCTGAAAGAGGACGACGAGCCGAGTCGAAAGACGTCTACTTCGGCGAGGTAGGACCACCCGTTTTCGTACGAATCGGTGTCAAAAGTTCAAACTTCGGGATCGTTTTTCCGGAATGGAGAGCTCAATTTACCGGATTCAAGGACGGCTCATTATAGAAGTAATAACCGTGAGTACTATGTAAAAATTTCACCTCGATAGGACCATTTTTGGGGGAGTTATTCGACCTTTTGTCTTGGAGATTTGCGGGCTCCATCGGGCCGGGGAAGGCTCAATCAAAAATTTTGAAGACGGCAACGTCGAAAGGACAACAAATGACATAACCTTCCAAACTTTGGCATCGATTGAAGCAATAGTTTTTAAATTATTTCAAGTTTAAACTATAAGTGATTTCTCCACTGGACAAGCAAGGTCATTGACCTCGTTACTGCTAACGGTTTTTCTAACGAACTTCAACAACAGCTGCGTTCAACGGATTTGTTTACTATAAATGGGGATAGTCATCTTTACATCTGTTATTAATTGTGAATTTAATAGATAATTATTCTAGAGTTAAGAATTATTGTAAAATTAGATTTACAAATTAATTTTAAGGCTATCTCTCATTCTGTGCAGCTAATTATTAATTAGAGGTACAGGATTGCTTGGCACAGTGCCTCCTTACAAAATACATTTCTTCTAGTATTAAGAATTATTATTTTGGATTTGGGGATAGATTTTGTTAATTTAGAATAACTGGGATGGATGATTCAATGGAAATTCAAGATAAAAGGAATGGAGGGTCTCCTATACAAAATTCGGGAACCCCAGGAGGATATTTAGCTACAGAAGAATGGGAAACATGGAACACAGAGGAGGAGATGCTTCATGAAGCCAGCATATGTTTAGGCAGGATAATAGAACTATGCCCTCAATCAAGAAACTCCACTGTGAGGGTACATGAGAGAGCTGAGGTCCGTGAAAGAGCTATGAAGATGTATGCAGTGCTAAATCAGATGCATGGTATGTTAAAAGAGTTGAGACAACAGACAACAATAGGAAAGAAAAGGGAAACTACCATTCAAAAATCCCCCACCCAGAAAACATATGCACAGGTAGTGAGTAGCAGACCAATAACAAGTGACACGACAAACTCCATTAAACAGGCTATAAATACAAAGGTACAAAATGAAGGAGATGGAGGGAGTTTTGCGGTGCTGGTATATCCAAATATAGAAGGAACAGACGAAAACATAGACACAGAAGAAATACAGGGGAAAATCATGACAGAAGTTAAGCCACAGGAGATAGGAGTAAGGGTCAAGGGAGTGAAAAGAGTAAATAGAAGAGGCATATGTATACGGGTAAAAAATAATAAAGAAGGGGAGAAATTAAAAAGTGCCATTGAACAAATCCCAACTATAAACAATAAGATCAAATGCCACGTGGCTGGTGGACGGCGACCACGGATGATTCTGCTGAATGTGCCACAGTCGGTGGAGGAATCACAGATCATAGAAACGATCTACAAGCAAAATGATATTTGGGATAAGATAGATAAAGAGAAATTCTTGGAGAGTTGTAAAATTAGCACGATAATCAGCAAAGGTAAAGTGAGAGAAAACTGCAAACACTATGTAATATCGGTATCACCAGAAATAAGAAAGAGAATAATTGATACTCAGTTCCTTTCGATATCATGGGCAAACATTAAAGCAGATGATTACATACCGATCATCAGATGCTTCCGCTGTTGTGGGTTTAATCATTTTGCTAATGAGTGCCAAGAGGACACTAGGTGCAGTTACTGCACTAAAACGCACAAACATACAGAATGTAATAACAAAAACAGCACACCATGCTGTATAAATTGCTGTAAATATAATAGGAATCAACCACCAAGCCGTAAAATACCAACGAATCATAACGCATTCAGCCAACACTGCGAAATATTACAGAGGTTAAAAACAAAGAAAGTACAGTTAACAAACTATGGGGAGTAATGGATACAAGAATAATACTCAGCATACCATTAACCTACAGGGCAATTTAAAGATAATACAAATTAATGTTCAGTGCAGTAAGGCTGCTACCTCTGAATCAATGTATATGGCTAACAATTTCCAGGCAGACATTTTGGCAATCCAGGAGCCATATTGTTTCGACAAGAAAATAGCACTATATGGGAAATCACAAGTTATAAACAACAACAATAACAGTGAAAACCCGCAATCTGGATTTGTAATATTAAATAAAAATCTCAATGCACAGAAATTGAGTAATCACACTAACAAAAACTTTACGACTATCATCGTAAATCAACAAAATACTTCTATAGTAATGATCTCGTTCTACTGTTCCCCGTATGAAGAAATAACAGAACCATTAGAAGAACTTAACAAAACTGTACAACAATTGAAAAACCTACCAATATTAATAATGGGAGACTTCAATGCCAAGTCTTCAATATGGCATAGTCCAATCGACGATCCACGGGGAACTGAATTGGTCGAATTGATGAGCAGCCTAAATCTTACATCACTAAACTCAAGCACCCTCCCGACTTACTCTTCCACTACCGGCGAAAGTTGGGTGGATGTCTGTCTAGCCAACAGACATCTTACAAGATTCAACATCCAATGCAACACATTAGATGAACATATGGCTAGTGATCATAACTACATAGACATCAACATCACGGTGCCAGGGATACAAAAGAATTACAGGATTGTGCAGAAAACCAATTGGGATAAATATAAGGATTATATCAGGAATCACTGGAACAGCGAAAATATGGTCAGCATAAACAACACAATGGATCTCGAGGGAATAGTGGTTAACTTACAGGAAATCATTTATTCAGCATACCACTACGCCACCACGGTTACAACAACCAAACACTCCAACACATGGTGGACGGCAGATCTCTCAGCACAGCGAAGGGCACTCAGGAAAGCTAGGAAGAAATACAGGAAGGAAACTGATCCTAACAGAAAAGAGAATTATAAGCAGGATTACCTGGAGCAATTTAGGAATTACAAGACAAATATAAACAGGACAAGGACCGAATCCTGGCGAAAATTTTGCTCTGCCATGGCGAATGATCACATATGGTCAATTCCCTATTACATAGCCAGAAAAAAGAATAAGCAAGCAAGGATCCCTGATAACTTTCTAAATGATATTAACAATGAGGAGAATACAATTCAAGAAACTTATGAAAGCATAACTAGAGAATTATTCCCAGAGGATGACATACAGGAGGAAGATGAACAACATCAACAAACTCGCCAAAATAATAACATGGAAAATCTTGGGCCGGAGGACAATCTTTTTACCAGCCATGAAATATACAGAGAATTTCATAATCTTAAATTAAATAAAGCACCTGGCCCGGACTTTGTTACTCCATTAATGGCAAAGGAAGCTTATGAGGCCATACCTGTCATATTTACCATAATTTATAATAAGTGTCTGGAATTGGGCTATTTTCCCATAGAGTGGAAGAAAGCCTCGATAAAATTTATACCAAAAAGTGCTAACCCATCAAAACCATCAGACTACCGTCCCATCTCTTTACTGCCAGTGATGGGGAAAATTTTAGATGGATTAATGGTAAACAGATTAGAATATCATTGTGAAAGCAAAAAATGTATAAATGAAAATCAGCATGGCTTCCGTAAAGGGAGGAACACAGTTAGCGCTTTGGACTCTCTTGTTACGTACATTAAAAAAGCTAAGAGGAAAGGGGAACACACCCTGGTTATATCAATAGACTTTAAAGGGGCATTCGATCATGCGTGGTGGCCCGACATCCTTGAAGCTTTAAGGGGAACTAAATGCCCCCGTAACATCTATAGGCTAGTGGAGAACTACTTGAACGACAGAGAGATTCTCATCATTAACAACAACAAAACTTACCTACAAAAGAAAATCAACAGGGGGTGTCCTCAGGGGTCTAGATCCGGACCCTTCCTGTGGAACCTCGTTTATAACAGCATAATGCAATTACAAGATAAGATTCCTAAAGATTATAATTTCAAAATTCAAGGCTACGCTGACGATACTATTTTGGCAATTACCCACAGTAACCAAGAAGTTTTGCAATATAGAGCAAACGAGATATTAAAAGAAATTTCACAATGGAGCAAACGCATGAAATTGAAAATTAACTATGGAAAATGCCAAAGTATAGTGTTCCCTAAAAATACACCGCTCCAAAAATCGCCAATTCTTAAAATAGATAATAAAAGAATAAAAAATAGTACGGAAATGAAATACCTGGGAATTATAATGGACAATAGAATGACTTGGAAAAATCATGTACATTACATATATGATAGGGCTGTAAATACCATCCATTCTTTAACATCAATAGCAAGAAACAAATGGGGATATGACAGCAAAGCTTGCAGGCTACTCTATACTATGGTTGTCGAACCCATGATAACTTATGGAAGTGAAATATGGGGCGACTCTGCAAAGAAAATACATATACAAAGGAAATTACTCTCCGCACAAAGGAAGTCAACAATTATGATCACGAAATCCTATAGGACGGCCCCCACCAACGCCATTCTCACAATTGCAAACTTAATACCAATAGACCTGATTGTAATTGAGAAGTACTGGCACTACCTGCAACACAAACTCTCAACAGGGAACATGGATACAGAGGACTTTAATAAAAACATGACCAACATTGACTTTGGAGATGAAGCGAAAAGTATAGCTAATCACATTCAAAGATATAACCTGGATAAGAAACCGCACAAATTTATTTACCACCCAAGTTACTCAATTGAAGATATCATAAATATCAATGATGGAACAATACCCAATGGGTTCTGCATATACACGGACGGATCAAAATCAGACGCAGGAGTGGGGTGTTCAGTGGTGGTCACAAAAAACAATAAAAGCATTTATCAGGCAAGGTACAAACTTGGGAGTCATTGCACGGCCAACCAAGCCGAATCACTTGCAATTCTCAGGGCGCTAATGTGGACCAAAGAAAACTGGGAAAAGAATAAAATTACACACATCACAATTCTAAGTGATAGCAGAGTAGCCTTGATGCAAATTAAAAAGATGAACACTAAACTAACGGCTGTTACGGAAATTCTTGAAATACTGAAATACCTGAGGAACAATATTCAAATAAATCTCAATTGGGTAAAAGGTCATGCTGAAATTAAGGGAAACGAGAGAGCAGACCTTTTGGCTCGCTCAGCCCCTTACTGGCTAAATAATACCATATTCAACTACACCCCCACATCATGGCTTAAAAGAATTATCAGAGAAAATATTTGGAAAAAATGGCAAAAGCGATGGAATGAGAGCAATACTGGCAGGATAACACATGGATTTATTCCAGATGTTCAAACACGAAACAAAAATAAACACCTGGCTCCCAACTTCATGATTACACAAATGATAACTGGGCATGGAAATTTTAATAATTATCTTAAAAGATTCTTAAATAAAACAAATGGTATATGCCAATGTACACTCCAGGAAATTGACTCTCCGGAACACATAATCTACCATTGCCCAAATTACTCCACACAAAGGAAGCAGCTAAAGGAAACTGTTTATAGGGAGAACGAGAACTGGCCATGTAAATTAAATCAGCTAATTAATAACAAGAATATCTACAAGGCTTTTAAGGTTTTTACCAAAAAAATAGGCATATTGAACTGAGTACAGGACCAGCGTAAATGGCTACAAGAGGTAGTCTTTTCTACGGTTCTTCAGGGGGATACGAATATGTACGGGTATATAAATTGTTCTTTGGCTAACTGTAACCAACTAGCCACGCGAGCACAAAGATTGTGCTCTTTCAGCACGTGTATTTAAATTGTTTATCTAGATGCATCTCATTACAAGCATGAATGGTTGTATCTTTAGACTACTGTATCCTGTATATATTTGTACATTCTGTATGTAACTTTTTAATTTTGGTCAATAAATCTTGCGTCGGGGGCCCGGTGCAGTCGCGACGGGATCCCATGAACATCTTATCTTTTATCTTTCCTATCTTCCTTTAATTTCACCTTCGCCTAGACCTTCGCAACACTTTCCTTCTTCCTTCCTCTTCTTGTTTCTGGGCTATACCTAAGAGTGCGGCCCATTAACAATTTCTGGATGTCTATAGAAACACAGAGGGCGTCGAATCGCCGAGCGTGCAAGTTGGTTTAAAGTGTGCTCTGGAATAAATTGTGATAACTTCGGAAATAATGTAGATATCATTAAGTGGCATATACCGTTGGATTACGCTTTTTGTGTGGATTCGAATGATACCAAAGTTGAGAAGATTGGACCAGCGGATTTTTGGCAATCGGAGGATAAACTTCGCATTATTCAGAGTCGTTTTTCCGGAGTGGACTGATCGATTAACCGGATTGGAATACAGGATCTAAACTGCAAACTGACTGTGAGTATAATATTAAAATTTGGTAAAGATAGGACCAATAGAACAGAATATTTTTGACTTTTTTCTGGGGAGTCAATCGGGCCGAGAGACGGCCATCTTTGAAAATTTTTGGTGTTGTTAGTGAGAGGACTATTGTCTTGTAGTGGGGGAAAAATTTTGTGTAGATTGGGCTAGTAGTTTTTGTGGAATTGCAATTTATATATTTTAGAACTTTTTACACTGTGCATAACAGGTCATTGACCTCCTTCATAACGAACGTTAACCGACGTGGGGAATTCCAACGACGTCATCAAGATTGTTGATTGTTGTAACGGTCGTTGCTGCTAACGGATTTATTGGATTTAATTGGTCTAAATTAGTTTTATTTAGAGTTTAATTAGTTTTAACTTAAATTAAGCGCTAAAGAAGTTAAAATGACAGAAATAATAGAAAAAATCATTGAGGAATTTTCTGATCAAGCATTTGATATGGTTGAAGAGGTAAAACAACATATAAAAGAGAATCCCGGGGGGAAATTATCCACAAGGGAACACAAAAACTTTATGATTGACCAAATGGCAAAAATAATTCAACTTGCTGAAAAGACAATGAGAGAAAACTTCAAACTAGATGAAATAGGGGGGGAAAAGTCACCAACGATTACTAAGGAAGAAATAGCTGAATTAATAGGAAAACAAACAGAAAGAACAATAAATGAAATTAAAGAGATTAAAAATGAAATAAATAAAATAAAAGAAAATATAGAGTATAACACACAGGATAAGGAGAAAGATAAAAATTTACTAAATGAAATTAAAGAGATTAAAAATGAAATAAATAAAATAAAAGAAAATATAGAGAATAACACACAGGATAAGGAGAAAGATAAAAATTTACAAACAGAGATTACGCAACTTGTAGAAAGAAATGTAAACGTCACACTAGAAGCAATCTCAGGTGTTAATAGAACAAATGACAAAGATTATTTATCTTGCTGAAGAAAATTTAAAGGAAATTAGGGAAAACTCGGAATCAAGAGTTAAAATAGAAAACACTATTACCAAAGAGGAAGTTAGTAAAATGCTAGATTTACATAATGAGTTAACAATGACAGAATTGAAAAAGATTAAACAAGACGTCAGTGACATAAAGAAAATTACAAACAGTTGTAATCTAGATCAGACCAAAGAGAGCGAAATTAGAAATAAACTAAAGTCGGAAATAACAGAATTAATACAAGCAAACACTGAAAAAACGATGGAAGAAATCTCAACCGTTAAAGGAGGAATTAAAGATCTTAAAGATAACTTATATAAAGGAACTAGTGAAAGTGAGCAAAAAATTAGCTATAGCGAAGTCCTTAAACTGGGGAAAACTCAACCAGTAGTCAAGATTAAGTCATCAGTACCACAATACACTGTATTGGTATTTAGTAAAAACAAGGGAAATACTTCTGAGGACACTAAGCAGATCTTGACAAAAGAAATTAATCCGGTGCACTTAGGAATAGGGATCAAAGGTCTTAGAAAAGTAAACCAAGGCGGAATTGCAATAGATCTGTACTGCACGGCAGACATGAATACCATGGCTAAAGAAATAACGAGAGTGAAGGAATTAACAACTAAAACGGCGCAAAAACGACTGCCCAGAATTAAATTGGTGTCTGTCCCGAAATCCATCAAACAAGAAGAACTCCTTGATATACTTTATGAACAGAATGAGTGCTTTAACACAAACATCTCACAAAATTTCGTCAATGAAGAAATAACGGTGAAGTTTTCAATCCCACAGAAAGATAAAAATTGCGTGTCATGGGTTCTGGAGGTAACGCCTATGTTTAGAGAGATATTTATAAAAGAGGGTAAAATAAATCTAGGCTGGACAAGATGTCCAGTCTTTGATTTTATCTCTATCAAAAGATGCTTCAAATGCCTAGGGTTTGGAAATTTCGCCAACCAGTGCCCCTCGAAAGAAACAACATGCAGTCATTGCGGAGATGCCCACCTTTACAGAGAGTGCCCAAAAGACAAAGATGTGAGATGCGCCAATTGCTACAGGAACAAGCAGACAGACTACAACCATAACACTATGGACAAGTCCTGTCCAAGTTACATCAACGAACTTCGCAAGTTCTCATAATTTCGGGAACTTTTCAGCCATACGGTCAGCAACTGATTTTGGGATACCCATCGAGTGTAATGGGTAGTTGTCTGTTTTATTTCAGTTCTAGTGTGTACAGTTTTGTCCCGAGATGGGATTTGTATTTTCTGTTGTATTTTGTTTTTATTCTGGCCATCTTTTTCTACCGAAATTCTGCAGAGTATCTTCTGTGTACAACATGTATATAATTATTTTTTAGTTCACATTGCAAGTAGCAATGTTTTGTCCACATTTTTAACCATTCTGTATTATTTTGATTACTGTAATTATTTTTATTCTGAATAAATAGAACCCGGTGCAGGCGCCCGTGGACTCCTGTGGGGGTGTTCTGGTTGCAACTCTCTTTATATCTTCATCCCCTATCCTATCCTCCTTTCATTTTCCCCTTCACTACCCTACTTACACACTTTCTCTCCCAACTCCTATTTTCACCCCAGGCAATACCTCCGAGTCGTCCTGGTCTTCATCCCCTTTCATATAGAATGTCTATAGAAACAGAACCAGAGGGCGTCGAGTAGCGTTCTGTTGAAGCTGCTGCAAACTTGGCTCTGTTTTTAAACTGTGTTTTTGGCGGATATTTTGATCGGAAACGGATACCGAATACACCGTTGGAAAGCGCTCATCACTAGGGTTCGTATGATACCTTTGTTTTTTGGGTGGGCCAAATAGCGGGGGAGCTAGGGGGTTTAAAGTTCTTATTCTTTAAACAGTTATTCCGGGGGGGATTTTTAATTTAGGGGGCACAAATTGGATGATTGATTAAGGACATTTGGTAGAGGGTCTGGTATTATTTTGGGCAACTTTGGCCCACTTTTCGGGGATTTATCGCGATTTTAAAAACTTTGCTTTCTGTAAGCAGTGTTTTGTTCTAACGGTTTTTAACGGCCGTCTAGTATTTTAAAGTTTGTTTACTATTCGGCAGTTTAGTTTATTATAGTGGATAGGGGTTTTGGAATAGTTCATTTTCTGATATTTCTTAAAATATTACTATTATTATTACATTTCTTTGCATTATAATTTTCACGTGGGGATAGTTAGTAACTTATCTTTATTTTAACTTAAGTAGTTTATTATTTATATTTATTATTATTGTTTTGGTTTTCTGGGGAGACTATATTATGGAGGATCCAGTAGTGGTTTTGGAAAGTCTGGGGGATGTTTCAAATTTATTACCAGCAGGCTCAAATAATGATAATGAGGAGGCTGTAGAGGAACCATTATCATGGGATTCGGACGAGGACATATTAAAGGAGGCAAGTATTAGCCTTGGGCGAATCATGGAACTGTGCCCTGAGTTTACTAATTCAACTGTTAAAAAACACGAAAGGGCTGAAGTTCGACGCAGAGCTGTAAGGCTTTTCGCAGCTGTTAACCAAATGTTTGGTATGTTAAAAGAATTGCGTGTGAAATGTTCTCAGCCAGTGGAAACGACAACAGTTCCTCTCACTTACGCACAAGCTGTGTCTTCAATGGCTGCTAAACCCAGCAATACAACAAAGACTATTAATAATTCTCTAAAATCACAACGCCTGCAGGAAGGAACTGCAGGAGGACATGCAGTCCTGGTATACCCTAACTCAGACAATATCGAGGTAGGGGAAGAAACAGAAACGATCACGAATAAGATAATGACAGAGGTCAGGCCTCAAGACTTGGGCATCAACATTACAAATATTAGAAAAATCAGAAATAAAGGAATATGCATTAAAGTTCAGAACAAAAAAGATGGAGAAACATTGAGAGACGCTATAGAGGATATTTCTTCAATTAAGGAAAAAATTAAATGCCACGTGGTAGAAGGCAAAATGCCACGGGTAATTCTGTTAAATGTACCGCTATCGATAGAGGAGGAGAATCTACTCCAGTACATGTACAAACAAAACAATATATGGAACGGAATAACTAAAGAGGAATTCATGAAAAGCTGTCGTATAAGCACAATTTTTACCAAAGGGAAAACAAGAGACAATTGCAGACATGTTGTATTGTCTGTCAAACCGAATATACGCAACGTAATCATTAGCACTAGACATCTATCTTTATCATGACACAAGGTAATGGTTGACGATTTTATTCCTGTAATCAGATGTTTCAGGTGCTGCGGCTTTGGCCATTTTGCCAAAGACTGCGTGGAACCTGTCATATGCAGCCAATGTGCAGGACCACACAGCTACAAAGAATGTCAGAAACTTAATAATACTCCTTGTTGCCATAATTGTTACGCACATAACAAAGTTCAGCCCGCTAGTAAGAAGGTGCCCACAAATCATAATGCCTTTAGTCAGGATTGCACAACATTACAAAGAATAAAAGCACAAAAAGTCAAACAAACTGACTATGGCTTATAACCCACTTGTCAGCAATACTCAGACGTCGATCAACATTCAGAATCAGGTCAATACTTTTAAGGCACCTACTAGTTCCAACAACACCAATACCACCTCTTCCCTGACTCTTTTAACAATAAATACTCAGAAGTCCAAAGCGGCC